CTTTTATTAATATTTATAACATTGCTATTTCAAGGATAACATTTTAAATCAACAGAAGGACAAGAACCTTGAAGCTGTATTGTGTCCACTAAGCAACACAGGTGTCAGTGTTTCATGTCTCTAATTAGCATAATGTCAGTGTAGTCCATCCTATCCAGTGAATCTTTGCTTTTAAGTATCCCACTTTCTGTAAATTTACATTTCCCAATGCTAAGGGTTCCCTTAAAGCAAAAACAACAAATTATTTCTTTACATAAGAATTACTTTACTTTTAAATAATAGTAAACAAAAAGATTCATGCAGCTTTCTTGCGTAAGCATTGGTGACATTTAAATTAATCATAAGATATATTCTAAATATATGCAATGAATATGAGAAGTAAATTTGTTAATTATTTTAAACAAATAAGGTATCAATGATTAATTCTGGTTAATTTTAACCTAGTCATTTGAAAACGTGAATACAAGAGATTGATTTCTTTTGTAGCTTGGTCATGAGGTCCTGGCATGTTTTTCCTTAATGAAAAGTCTAAACTTACTCAGAAACCTTAAGGTGTTGAGCCTTTTAAGAGGAATTAGAACCTACTAAAGTCATTTAGGTATATCTTTCAAGTCACATTTCTTTAATTTGCGTTAGCAGATATATTATTTTGTATATAACAAAGAAATAGAAACATTTTTAAAATGTCTACAATATGTAGCATATCAAACATTAAAATGAGAAATTTCATTGTAAATACAGTTGTACTTCTATTCACAAACTTACTTCATTCCATGATTCTGTTTACAAACCAAATTGATCACGACTGGAATAGAATCAAATTTCCCAATAAATTCCAATGTAAATACAGTTAATCTCTTCTGAACTATATGTATTTTTAGCCACAAAAATATGAAGGAAAGTACAGTACAGTGCAGTACAAAGAGAGAGAAGATTAACTTTGCTTGAGGTGACTTCTGGTGTGGAGAATAGGAAGGGAGGTGGACAGGAGATTATTGTTGAAGGAAGAGTTTCTCTTCATAAGGACAATGGGGAGATTTCCTTCAAAGGTTTCCTCTCTTCTTTGTCTCTTAGCTGCAGGGTCAATTTTAAAGAAAAATCAGTCTAATATCACTTTTTTTCCTGCACTGTATAGCCATCCAGAAATGAGAGACCATGTTATCATTCATCACTTTCAACACTCTGCTTATTACAGGTATATTGGGGTGGTACTTCTCAAAGAAATCTTGGCACTCGTTCCATTTTTCCACAATGGATTTTATCACAACACTGCTAATCTCCTCCCTGTCTTCCTTTTCCTCAGTGGAATGATCCTCAACAACCACCTTCCGCTGCTCACTCTGAACTTCAACAAGTTCTTCTGTTGTCAGCTCCTCCTTATGGTCATCACAAGCTCCTGTATTTCTGCACCACTGACAGCCAGGTCCATACTCCTGTCTATGGACACAATCTCCTCCACTACCTGTGCACCAGACCCTTCAAAGTCAAATTCAGTGGTATATTCTGGCCAGGGTTTCCTCCAGGCTGTGTTTAAGGTCCAGTACGTGACATCTTCCCCAGCTTTGTCAATGAGGTTGATGCAGTGCAGGACATTGAAATATTTCTTTGAGAACTCTTTCAGAGTCAAGGACATATCTTCAGTGACATTAAAACACTTGGTGAGTACCTTTGTGTACAGCTTCTTGAAGTCAAAGATCACTTGCTGATCCATGGGCTGCAGAAGAGGAGTCATGCTGAGCAGAGGAACTTGACCTTTATGAAATCATACTCAGCATCCATATCATCCACCAAGGCTGAAGGATGTCCCAGGGCATTGTCCATCAGAAGAAGGCACCTTTCAGGCATCTGGTTTTTCAGAAAGATATTCCTTAATGGTGGGTGTGAAAACCTCATGCAGCCATTCCATGGACAATTGCCTTGTGACTCAACCTTTCTCACTGACTCTCCACATGACAGGCAGTCTTGCCTTGTTCACGTTCTGTTCCTTGAATGCAAAAAGGGTTTGGAAATGGTAGACTAGTACTGGCTCAATCTTCAGATCAGCACGTGTATTCACACACAGCAAAATGGTCACTCTGTCCTGCATGGGCTTGTGTCCTGGAAGTGCCTTTTCTTCCTGTGTGACATAGGTTCTGTTCAGCATCTTCTTCCAAAAGAGCCCTGCTTCATCCCAGTTGAGCACATGTTGGGCAACGTATCCTTCTGCCTTCACGAATTCTTTGAATTCATTCTTGTATGCTTTTGCAGAAGCCTTGTCAGAACCAGAAGCCTCACCATGTCTTACCACACTGTGGATGCCCCTTCTCTTGTGGAAATTATCAAACCACCATCTACTGGCTTTAAATGCAGCACTTGTTGACTTGTAGAGGGGTTTTCTTGCCATAAATCACTGCAAAATTTCCTGGATTTTTCACAGATCATAGCTTCACTAATGCTATTACCTGTCAGCTGTTTCTCATGCAACCACAGTAACACAAGTTTTTCCACCTCTTCCAGCACTTGTGTCCTCTGCTCGGCAGAGTAACATCATTACTCCTTGTGCCACATCAGCTCCTTTGATGGCATCTTTATTCTTCCAAATAGTTGAGACTGTCAACTTCACCATCTTGTACTCTGAGACAAGGTCAGTCACATGAATATCATGCTCATGCTTTTCTACAATTTCCTTCTTCAATTCAATGGTTATTTTCTTCAAGTCTTTCTTCTTACCATTCTTGTTCTGCACTTTTGTGTTAACTTCATTGTTGCTTTGCACATTCTCATCATCTTCATTACCTCTCTGCACATTCCAGTTACCTTCATTATCACTCCTCACTTTCTTTTTACCACTATGCTTGCGCTCCATATTCTTTGGAGCCATGCTGGATTGAATAATATCATACAGTACTGTTTGTGCTAAAAAGCACACAAAAAAATATTCACAGTGAGTGTGCACAGGTCTGTCTGTGACTGCAATCTCAACTAGAAGGAAGCCAAGACCACCCAAGTGTCCAAGTAAGAAGATGACCATGGGTGTGTTCATCATCAATGCAGAATTCACAAATGGAAGCAAATTTTTGCTGAATGCCTCTGTTCATGAACCAAATTGTTCAAACAACTCCAACAGAAGCATTTGTGAACCAAGATATTACTGCATGATATTATTGTGCCTATTTTATACATGAGGAACTTGAGAAGTAGAAAGGAAGGTAGTTTGTTCCAGGTTTTGAGCCTGGATTGAACCTTGTGATTCCAAAGCTTTCCAAGCTGTGCCCACTTGAGAAAATGATTCCATCTATAATTAGCTAAACCTTAAAATACCTTAGGACCTCAGAAATCGGCCCTTGAGAAAAGGGGAAAAGTCAGTTTACAAATCATCTTCTAAAATTGGCTAGCCATCAAAGTTATCTTGTTGAAGATATAAAAAAGGTTATGATGTCATTGATGAGACTATCAAATACTTCAAGCAATGGCAACACAAAAATGCATAGCTAGCACACTTTGTTCCCTCACTTTTTGCTCAATTCAACTTAAATAAAATACTGTATAAAATGATTCAAACATCTCCAACTAGATATGTCATTTTTGCTATGGAAGTATTGAGAATTATTCTAAACACCAACTTTTGTCATCTAAAAAGAAACATTTAGCATAACTCTGTTATCATAAGCCTGTGCTGTCTTTAATATGTAAATATGACAACATATTACAGATACCACAACAGCAAAGTAGAACATTTTTTAAAAATACGAATCTCTTAGACTGGAACAAATCACACAAAACCTATGGATAACATTATCTGAGCAATACAAGAAAAACTATTTGATTTACAATGTTATGTTACCCACTTGCAGATACTTTAGGATAAAAAGGGGTATCAAACTCTAATTTCCTTTTTTTACAGGTGCAACTGTCTAGTGATAATATTCACTAGAAGGGATCATCAGAACCCATTTACAACTGCTCTGCCGTGTAAAAATAAGGCAATTGTCTCAGATGTGCATTCATTACAGGTAACTAATGGGAGTTGATCATGGCTTTCCTGAAAAACTATAGCGTGTCAAATGGGAGCTATATCTACAAATATACTAGGCTCAAAATTTAAAGAAAAAGACAAACTGGGTAATGTTTATTCATCTATTCTCTTAGTAACAACATTTTAAGTTTCCTCAAAACCCATTGATTATTTATTTTTACAAATATATGATGCCATTCAAAATGACACCCATAACATACTATATGTATGCATCTAATGCAAAAGTTAAAAACTCAATTAAATATGTAGATAGTTCCTTTAGGTTTTTCAACATGAAAGAAAAATTTCTCCAGCTGTAAATGCATTGTGAGAACTTTAAAAAGAATGGTACCTGAGTGATTTTGGAAATTTTGAGATTAAGAACAAAAATAAATGTGTTTTAAAATTTTGATTACAGTTACATTATTTTGAAAATATCCTATAGAATGTATATACTGTGGAACATGTTTTATGGGTGTTTGTGTATATTTATATCTATATTAGAAAAAGTCTAGTAAATTTTACATTAAGATATATCATGTACATGTACCAAATATCCACAAGGAACATAAATATTATGTCCTACAAATATAT